ATATATCTCTTTTTACTCCTTTCTATTTCCTGGTCCTCAAAACTTCTTGAACTTCTACTTATTGATCAATCCAGATACTGAAAGACCTTCTAGACAATTCTATCCTCCCTGGCTCTCATGATCAATCTATTAAGTTTGCAAACTCTCCTTATAGTTGTGTAATTTTTCATCCTATTGCCCCAAGTCACTAAGAAATCCCTGGTGTCATTGCTGGGTAAGCAATGGCCTGCTAACTGACTGAAAGGTAAGTGGTTCAAACCCACTACCACTCTATGAGTGAAAGTGCTACTCCCACAAATATTCACAGCCTCAGAAACACTGTATAGGGTGCTCAGAGACAGTATTGATTTATGGCAGTGGGTACCCCTAGTCATGAAGGAAACAGGTCTTGCAGTGGGTAAGGACTCAGCAGCTAACAGAATGCAGGCAGTTGGACCCCTTCAGCTGATTCCTGGGAGAAGCGGTGGCAGTCTGCCTTTGTAACAAATACAGTCTCCGAGGTACGCTGGGAGATTCTCCTTGGTCAGGTAGTGTTGCTACCAGTTGGAATGCACACCACAGCAACGGGTTTATTTTTGTTTGTGTTTTGTTTTATCCCTTGTAAATATGATCACTTCTAGATGGAGTGCTAAAGAAAACACATCTAATAATTTTAATATGTCAAGTTAACAAATGATTTGTATTATCCCAAAGCTCACATAGTAATTTCAACATCATTAGGTGACTGAATCTGTTATTATTTGAATTTGACTAAGGCTGACAGAGCCAGGGCAGTTACATAGGTCTGCATGATTCAAGAGAACCCCTAGTAACTTCAACATGGCAATAGCTATCCTATGACAAAGGGATTCTAAATAATTGGTTTTCTCCTGCCTCACTGGTAGTTTGTCTGTGGGGCTTTATTTTGCTTTGTTTTTTGCTTCTATCTCTTCCAGTAAACCTGTCAAAATGTTCTTTCTAAAATTCCAATTACATTTTATTACTCTCCTGCACCACATCACCCAGAGAACACAGTCCAAGCTTCGTGGGAGCTGCAAAGCTGTTCATCACACTGTTCTTCCCGAGCCTCTGTCTACTCTTTCACACACGTCCTGCTACTGCCTTACACTCTCCTCTGGACTAAGAGAGGCACTTGTCATTTTTTCCAGAAAGCATGCTTTTCACATTTATTCTCTCGTCTGGGAACACTTTTCTTTAAAAGGTCTCTTTCAATATTCTGGTTTCTCTTTAGACCATATAAATCTTTTGCTTTTTAAAATTTATCCTACCATATTCTACCAAGTATCATCTTGTTCAGAAAATCAGTCTTCAACCCCTATCTTGAACCCTCTGTACCATGAGACCACTTTAAATGGGCCTCTATGTAACACTTGCCATAATCTCTAGATGTGACTCTAAATTATTTTAAAGGACAAAAAATAATTCCTCTTTTTACTCTCAACTATTAGCACATTGCAGACCTATGGCAGCCACTGATAGTCTACCGAACACAACTAAATATTGCAAATGTCTTTGTCATCTCTCTTTGCCTCAAACAAGGCATCTCAATTTTGTTTCTGAAATCATATAACTCAAAAAAGTTTTCCCTCCTGGTATATTCCTCCTCTCAGATTCTAGTTCGATTTCTTATCCCCTAACTTTATTTTTATAATCGCTCAAACCTGACTGCTCTGCCTCTCATTTTCTCTGTGTACACTCAGCACTGGTTCTTAATGATGGGGACCATAAGGGTCACTGAAAGCATTTGTGTCAGTCTGGGATCTGTAGAGAAACAAATCCACAGAAACTCATGTATAAGAGAGAGATTTATATAAAGGTTAAGTGCACATCAAGAAAACATCCCAATCCAGTGCTTCCCAAGCCCACAAGTCCAACATTAACTCATTAACCCATATGTCCAACACCAATCCTCAAAGTCCTCCATCTCACAAAACATACACTATGATGCCAACCATAAGAGGAAAGCTGAATCAGTGAATGTGTGAGTATCTCAGCGCTGGCAGGGGTCTTCACATAGCTGCTCTGGCACCCAGAGCTGCATGGGGTAGATCCATGTGGCTTCTCCTCAGGGATGTCTTGCAGGAAGTGAGCCTTGCCAACTAAAGCAGGGAACTGGCTGAAGCAGCTGCACCCTGGTCCAACCATCAGAAAGCAAGAGACCCAAGAACTCAAAAGGCGAGGCTCACTGAGCCATTTATCCCTCTACCCTTCAATTAACCCCACATGTGTTTATCGCCTAGGTTGGCACAATAAACTAATTACCTCAGCATTTAAAAAGTTTTGGAATACTGAGTCCGAACCTCTGAGATTGCGTTTTGGCAAATCTGTGGTGCCAAGAAGAGGGATGCAGTTTTCAAACGCATTCCAGCTATTTCAATGTCCGTGGACCCTTGCAGTGTAGGTGGAGATGTCTGTTCTGCGTTACTAGTTTTAAAAATTGCCTAAAACACATACACACGCACTTTTACATATATACATTATTACTTGCCTAAAAGCTGCTGGTGCTTTTTAATTCCGAAGATGTTTAATTCAGAAGTTGTAAAACAATTAGCATATGGCATGGAAATGTCTGCTTAATCAATTTACAATCTGCTTTTTGAAAAGCCATCTCTGGATACTCGGTTACCACCCTCCACTTCATATCCTGATCAGTTTTGTCCTACAAACTGTCGTTGTGTTTCGTTCCATTGATTTCAACTCATAGAGCGTGTAAGACACAGTGGAATTGTCCCATAGGGATTTGTAGGCTGTAATCTTTACAGGAGCGGAACGCCTGATCATTCTCCCCTAGAGATGCTGCTTCACTGGGCACTATTGTGGGTTTTTAATCCCTGGAGTGCCTTCTGAACCCTTCTCCGACTGCTAAACAGTTACTCATTCTTCCATTCCAAGGCAATTATTACTCTTTTTTCAAGCCTTTCCCAAATCCGCTGCCCTCATCTCTGTCCTTCCCATTCTTACTGTGGTCAAAGCAAGTAACTTCCTGAACTTCTACTTCCCAAAGTGCTACCCCTTGCTTATTGCCTGAGACCATTTCCTCTACTATTCAGCGGTTAAGAAATGCTCTCTTATTTATAGTATATTCCCGGGTCCAGTAGTACTTTTCACTCACTTTGATCTAGTCTAACTTTGTTCAGACAATCTTGCCTCTTTATGCCGTGGAAAGCAGTCTGTAAGAGTGAAAAAGAGAAGTAGCAGGAGGTGGCCAATGTTTGTGCATATCAACATATGTGCATGACTTTTGGCAAGTGTTTTAAAATGATCGCCTTCAAAGAGGGGTTTCTTTTCTTTCCAGTTTCAGATAAAATTTATCTATCCCCAAAACAATATGGTGTGCCTTATGAAAAGGTTACAGTTGTGTTGGAACTTAAAAAAAAAAAAAAAGGCAGAGCAGCCACTCTCTAAGGCCTCTCTCTGTTCAATATCAGGCACTATTTTCAATTCTGACAGACTTGGCACCCAAAGAGGCTTCTACAGCCTCTGGTGACATAATCTGAGAAGAAGTAGAGATACAAAATCACAAGGCACACAGAGAAGAGTGGGGGGGGGGTTTCACTCTTTTTCCCTGGCTTTCTGCACTTTGTCTAGCTCTCAAGCCCCACCAATATCAATGAAACACCTTCAGATGCCTTGAATCTAATTTTTTGTGTGTGTGGAAACTGTGTACTTGAATTAAAGTTATCACGTTTTTAAATGAATAACTAATTAGCAAGGCATTTTCAATGCCTTATTTGGATTGCACTACCTAGAGCTCTACAGCTGATCATTGATCTTAAGACTGCCAACCTACTCTTACTATCTAGAGTTGTGCAAAGAATCGGATGGTCTAGGTTTGGTTTTGCTTTCTTTTGTCTTGTAAAATAGAGAGAGATGGATGTCGAGAATATTTGAGTAATAATTACTGGGGAGTATTTTTATGCATAAACTGGGATAGTTTTTATTTGATTGAACACTATTGAATCAAAGCTTTCAATAGGGGATTGGGGGGGGAAGGAGAGACCAGCATTTATAACCAGAGTGTAATGTAAGTGGGAGAGTGCAAGGGTTTTCCCAATTAATTCTTGGATTTGGAATGATAAAACATAAATACACACATCTGAAAACAACAGTATTAATATATTGCTGGTGAGTGACTGGAAGGTTAAACATTGTTTATCTCAAAGAATCTGGGGATCAGATAGTTAGATAGTGAAGGGTGTAGTGGAGAATGTCAAGTGACTTATTGTCAAGAACTTTAGTTTTGATTTGCATTACTCTCACTTTTATCCCCAGCACAGAACAAGGAATAGGCATCAGCATGCAGCTGCTGCTAGGGCTCAGATCACATCTTTAGGGTACTGATGGTCACTTCCCAGTTTGACACTTCAAAATGCGCTCTATGTGTACAGAAATTCAAAACACCGGGTCAGGTCCAATCTTCGTGAAAGTTCTGACACCATTTGATCTAGAACTAGAGAAAACTGTTGATCTAGTGGAACCCACTAGTTAATGTTGTGATAAAGGATGAAGAAGTACAATCTGCCTTTGAAACTAGCAGTCAAGGATATACGCTTGACCACCACCTCAGAAGAATATTACAGGGTTTTGGGTGTAGATTGCTGTTTTTCTGCATCACAGAGGACTTTTGGAGGGTTCTAATTAACACTAAATTTAGTAAAGTGATAATCTTACTCTTCCTTTTAAATCATCCAGCCATCATCACCATCATTAACTGTCTTTGCTGCTGGTGTTGTTTTTAAAGACTCACATCCTTTTAATACCACACATTTTTCTAGCATTTGTTTCTTTCCCACTCACATTTCCGCATAGCATTCCTATCAGAGTTTCTAGTTTCTTCAGGGAATTAAGCTACAGAACAAATACAGTACAGTATAACAATGAAAGAGCAGCTCTTCATTGCACATAAACCCTGCTATGTTTCGCTCCCGACGGGCCAGTAGCTTCCACCACTGCTTGCACATAACTTCTGGATTTGCTATGCCATTAGCGTAACGCCTCACAGCCCCCTCCCGCGCTCCCGACGGTCAGTGGCGAGCCACCCGCTGCCCAGGGCTCCTTCTGCGTTTCCATCGGACGGCGCTAGGACCCGGGAGAGTCCCCGAGCGAGGTTCGCCGAAAGGCAGCCAGACTCCTCCTTATCTCCAGTGTCAAACTTGACATCAGCCTTCGAACGGAGCATGGTAACTTCTCCAGCAATCACAGCGCTCCCTCTCACAGCAGTGGCATGCTTCATGGAGATATGCTCCTCTCACTGCCCTCTGCACCAGCAACATGGATTGTCACCTCTCCATCCTCTTCTTCCTCAGCTGCTCCGCTCTCCACTGCTCCGGAGAACTGATTCCCCAGCCTTCCAATGAAGGTAAGCCAAGTCCGGCGGGCGCACCGCCGGCCCGCGGCGCTAACGCTCCCCTGGGCGCTCCCACCCGAGCCTTTGCGCGTCCTTAAGGTGCCTCCGAATAAAGCCCTTTGCTTGGAGGGTGAACGAAAGGCGCGCTTTTGTTTTCGGCTTCTTTCTAAAATACTTTAGGAGATCGTCTTGGCTTGCCTAAACCTTTAGAATGTGTTTTTAATTTGATACCAATTCAAGCAATTACCTTGTTTGCCAATTTTAAGAAGCAAAGGGGGTGGGGGTAAAACTCAGCTTTTACAACCTAGTATGTTAATTGCCAAATGGCCAAGGTAGTATTTTATTTTCTAATTATGACCATGTGGTTCTCTAAGAAGTTTAAAAGAAAATCCAATCCTCCTATTTAGATTCTTTGGTGTATTTAAAGGTAATGACAGGTTGTCCCTCCATGGGATCATGGCCTTTATGAATGGACTACAGGAAAATCAGAGTTTGTTGAAGCAGAGGGGTGTGTGTGTGTGTGTGTGTGTGTGTGTGTGTGTGTGTGTGTGTGTGTGTGTTTTGTAACTGCTGTACTGAAGTGAAGTGCATCCCACTAGGCGATGGTTTGCTCTCTGGTACAGGTTCTAATGAGCAGCATATGCTACATTAACATAAGTAATATTTGCAGGAATTACAATAAGCTTAGGTTGGATTCTCTTTGTTTAAGGGCTTATATATAAATAGAAGGTTCTATTTAATGAATAGCAAATAGCTCCTGGGTTGGTATAGTAAATAACTGAATAGCAAATTAAGAAAGAATGTTCATATGGTGCAAATAGCATGTCCTTAATGCAGGCTTATTTTTCTCCTGCGATGGGCTTTCGACCCTTTTTCAATGGGTTAAAGTTCAGTTTTAAAAGTGACGATACCTATGTTTCTTATAAGACCGTGTACTACATATGATGTTTTTTTTTTCCTGTATCCCTTTTGTGATCTATTTCTAATGACTAGTGGATACAATCAGTAACTCTTAAGAGTAACTTCTCTGAATAATTAATTATTTTAAAGCTTTATAAGATAAAATCTCTGATTTCTTCTTAATGATTTCGAGCTTATAAAATAACAGTTTGCTAATTATATTACAGCTTAGCAAATTAATGTGCAAATGCTATATGCCACTCAGTAAAAGACATGTTGCCAATAAAACAATAGTGTTATCTATTATACACATTATGTAGGGCACACACACAACTATAGTTCAAAATGTTTAGAAACTTATTCACTGTGTGTAAAAATCACATTTTATATTTAATGGCCTATTTTTACTGCTAATAGAGCACTTTGATTTCATTTGTTCCTGAGTGACCACCTTTATCTTTTTTGCAGGTATCATTAAGTTTTTCAATGTCTTTATTATTTGGAAAATTGAACATTATATAATACAGGGATCCAAAACTGAGGTTTCCTTTTCTACATGAGTTTTCTTTTTCTTTTACAAGCCAAATTATCGTTTATTTGAAAGTAATGGCCAATCATCCTTCATGTGCAGTGAAGAATGATTGCATAATGAATAATGTGTAGAATGAATAACATAGCACTGTATTTTGAAAGTATTTTTTTGCTTTTTGAAGCTATTAAAATGTTGACCAAACTATTAACTACAAAAAGCATTATTATTGCCATATTGGTATGATAAATTGTATTTTTCCAGATGGAATATTTATAAACTATTTAGGTAATGGGTTTTCCTGAATTAATAATGCATAAAGCTATAGTAGCTTTTTTGTGTGTAGAAAACATAACCTTTCTGTAAAGTGCAAGGAGAAAAATAATGACTCTTTAAGCTTATTCACACCTACATAAATGAATCAATACTAATTTAGTGAAGCAAGATTAATCATATGTGGAGTTGGTTTAAATCACATTTGGTGTATGCTTGGGTGTGACATGTATATAATATATAAGTAATATCAACAACATATCTGCAGGAAGGTTAATATATTCAGAATGCTGATATAACACTCAATTTCCTTGAATAAGTTATACTCTATCCATTGTTTCTGGGATCAGTCTTTCCAGATCTTGTCCTATGGGTAAGATCTCTTTTTCTTTCTTAGGTTATGATGAAATTATTTAAAACAAAATTTGAAAAGAATGGTTTAACATTGGCAATATTTGGGTGAGCTTTCAATTGTTTGACTCTTAGCTGAGCGGAACAACATGAAATGTGAGAATTCCCAAGAAGTGCCAAGATTTCCATGCAATTTTTCTAACAATGTAACTGAAATAGAAAATACTGCCTCTGAAAATTCATAAATTTTGGAAGAATTAATGATAAAATTATGCACAATATATATCTTAATGTATTTTTACAAATCATAACAACATTATCAGTTGCATTTAAATATTGTTTGTAAGGTTACATCTAAACACTACAGAAAAAAGGTAAAATATACTAGAGTATATTCTGCATTCAATTATGAAGTTAGGCATGAGGAAACTAGATAATAAAACCAGGCCAAGAAAGTAACTAGTACAAACTTGCTCTTATGTGCTTTAAAATAAATATTTTGATTTAATAATCATATCAATATTAAAATTCCATGAGTTCATGATGGAAACAAAAAACTTAGAAAAAGTTTTCTCTCAACTTTCTTATTAAAACACATAACATTCAAATGCTATGAAGAACAATATTTTGGTCATATTATTCTTCACTGACATCTTCAATTATATTAAATATTCATAATTTCAATGGTCACTTAATATAAGAAACATAAAAAGAAAAACTTTATAAAAGCCTCCTGAAACTTTATTGAAATCTTATTGGATTTCTCTGGAAGAACACACGAAAAACCTCTCAATGAAAAATCTACTTCTTTTCAGGGCAAACTATAATTGCTATATTAAGCATTATAGAAAGAGTTTATAACCTTTTTACCTCTTCCCTTCCTACATAGACTCTGACAATAGTACATAGAAATGAAATTGTAAAAAAGTTAAAACTTGATGTAAAGTGAAATATTGACTACTAATACTTCAAATTCTTTTAGGATGGGATAAAGTTTTCTCTTGAATAGTTTTCTACATTGGAAGCAATCTGAGGAAGAATGACCGGCTTTGAATCAATATATATATATTAAATAATTTTACTATTCTAACGTGTTCATAAATTAGATCAACATTAATCACAAGGCTCATCCATTAAAAATTGGGTTTTACAAACTAAAAGTGAAGAGACGCTAGATCTGTAAGTTTATGCATTATTTATTTTAGCAGATTTTTTTTATGTGGATGGGTCACCATTTCTGTGAAATGTATTTTTCTGTACATAAATCCTCTCAGTATTAGAGGAGAGAATATGTAACTGTTTAAAGCTAAAATCAAAACCTACAGATGAACACACATTTGCTTCCTTTTGAGGATTAGATAAGTGTTGGACAATAAGCATTTAAATAATGGACTTTTCCTTGAAAAAGTACTGTAAGTTGACATTACTTTTCATATATAAGCATTTACCCTCCTGATAAGAACACACTACAAGTAGTATTAATTGAGAACCAACCTATCATACCATCTTTATAGGTGTTTTCTTTTTGGAAAAGGGTCTACATTTGCTTTTAATAGTATTTCTTCATGCTAGACTAAATAATTGAATGCATTATACATTTTTGTAATTTAATAGCTTCCCTAATAGCTTGACTCCACCCCACCCCCACCCCCCATCAGTTATAACTGTGCTATTTACCCTGGGTAGGAGATACCTTAATTTCGCTATTTTAAAACCCACAACAGTTAACACTTGACCTAAGTCATTAACAGGATTATCAGCAAATTTGTTTAAGCTTTCACTGACAACCTGAATTGCTAGGATAATATTTTGATTGTGCCAGAAAGAAACTTCTTGTAACCTCTCAAAATCTATCATTAAATTAATTCATCCTGAATCTATATTCTTCCTAAAGACTAATATTGACAGTAATGATTCAACGGGAAATTTTGTACTTTGAGACCCAATCATCCTCACTTCTGTGTGTCACGTATCATGCCTTCCCAGTTCTTGCCATAAGTGAGGAATCCAAGTCGTTTTACACACTAAATACTGTGGCAACAGCAATGCATTTATAAATAGGAGCCAGCTTTGCTATCACTACCAACATTTTCAATGTTGTAGGTATTTATAAATGTTGCTGCAGTTGAAACAATAATTTTCTGCCAAATTTAAGGTAAAAGTCAATTGGTATATTTATAACTGACAAGCAACTGGAACTATAAAAAAGGAAGCTACGTGTAATAAAATGCCATTGCCCTGCCTTTGATCTTGGCTGTATTTTATATAAACTTGACTTTTCCATGGAATGCTAGGAATTGGGAGATTTAAAATGAATATACAATTTTTAAACAGAATGTTGCACATAGTTAGAAGTCAAGGTAATGGTATTTAGTGGTTTAAGAAGTTTCATGTGAAGATTTGCTTTTGAATACTTGAGTTATATCATAGTTTGTTCCTTACTTTACAAACAGGTTAATGCCCAATGACTCTTAAGAAAACATTTAGTAAGGTTATTTATTTTGTTTGTATATTATGAATATTTTAATATTCATATTTTGATGTGTTCTTAATGGTCCTATAACTTAGCAATCTCTCACAGTCTCGTTCTATGTAAAGATCTATAAATATTAAAATTGTTATAGAAACGTTAGTATTTTTTCTGAAATGAAATATATGCAATTTAAAATTTTCAAATAATCAGTTACATATGCAAAGGATTTTTACAGGCAAAACATATTTCCACAGTATATTTGATTTACTAACTTTAATGCAAATGGAAACAGTAAGAAATGTTCTTGGGAGTTACATTTTCCAAGTCATAAAATCTTCAAAAATATATTAATAAAACTTTCCACAAATCATCAAAACCGATAAGTTCTTACAGACATTTACTTACTAAGAAATCTCTGATGTGGACTACCTTTGATTTGACTCATTTTCTAATGATTTTGTTTGGCATAAATACGAGATGTAGGGG